TTCTTTTTTTTTCTTTTTTTTCTCTTTTTTTTTCTTTTTCTTTTAAGCAACTGAACAAGAAACTCTCAAATGAGAGAAGAATAAATTCTTTTTATTATTCTGAAATAAACAAAATAAACAATGTAGAATGAAATATTCAACATGAAGAGTTCCTGTTCTACATTGAATCCTACCTTACTGTTGAAAATTCTTCCCCGGATTTTAAACAAATTCAGAATGATATAATCAATAATGTGAATTTTTAAGCATTTCGGGGTGTTCAATAATTCTTGCAACAAGGTAAGGTAGGTATTATTGGTGTCATGCATTTTGTATTTCTTAATGAACTTAGACTCTTGTACTGTGAAGTTTTGTTTTCTAACAACCAATTCTTCTGTGAAGTTCTGAAAATTTGGTTGTTGATTATTCTCCAAGAATCTAAGTTCATCAAGAAAGAGTTCTTCAAAATTTAATTCAAAGCAGCAAATGTTTAACACAGTTTTATTATTCTCAAGGACCTGATCTGCTTCTTCTAAAAACTCTAACTCTTCATCAAAAATTTCCTCAAAACTTAAATCACACTCTTCTTCTTCTTCTTCTTCTTCTGATCTTTCCTGAATGTAGTTTATTTCTAGAGGCTGATTATTTGGTTGGTCCCCTGGATTAAAAATGTTGAGATCAGCAGTCAAATTCCCAAAGGACAGCTTCATTTGACCAGTTCTACAGTTGATGAGAGCATTAGAAGTGGCTAAGAACGGTCGTCCTAAGATGACAGGTGTCTGTCCTTTGGGATTGGAAACAGGCTGTGTTTCCAAGACTACAAAATCTACTGGAAAAATAAAATCTCCAACCTTAATCAGAACATCCTCTAACTCACCCATAGGGACCTTGACAGATCTATCAGCCAACTGTAAGGTGCATTTGGTTGGGTTCAGTACACCTAGACCCAATTGCTGATAGACTGAATATGGAAGCAAATTGACACTGGCCCCTAAGTCTAAAAGCGCCTTATCAATGTGAGTATTACCAATGATACATGAAATGATGGGGGAACCTGGATCTTTACGTTTCAAAGGTATGGGATTTGACAGCATTTCACTGATATTGGCGGCTAAAAAGACTTTCTTTGGGACATTTATTCTCCTCTTCTTAGTGCACAATTCTTTTAAAAATTTAGCATAAGATGGAATTTGTTCAATTACATCTAAGAGAGGAATGTTGACCTTAACCTGCTTGAATGTCTCTAGGATTTTCTCCTCCTGAGGAGAGTGTTTCCTAGACCTGAGTCTATCTGGAAAGGGAGCAACCGGTCTAAATCTATCAAAAGCAGGCTCAGGTTCGGGTTCAGGTTCTTGGTCATCTGAGGGGAGTGATTGTTGAATAGATTCATCAGAAGGAGAAGGAGAAGGAATTTGTACAGGATCAAGAGTTTGACTTGGCGGAGTTCTCACTTGATTATCGACCTGTCTACCTGACCGAAGTGAATGGATTGCATTCACTTGAGCTTCATAGGATGAACTGCATCCTGTGTTATTAGGGTTGACCACGGGTTGACTCGGAAATTTTCCTTTCTCTCTTTCACTCACGGCACTAGCTAGTTGACCAAGTTGGGATTCTAATCTAGCTATAGCTTGAGTGTTGGAGTTGAGCATTTGTCCGGTTGATTGCATGAAGGAATTCAACGTGCTAGATGTTTGAGTCAACATATTCGTGGTTTGAGTAGAGGCCTTAATTATGGTTTCTAAACCCCTTTCCAAGACATTGAGACGTTTATCTTGATCTGGATTGTGAGGAGTTTGAATTACAGCTTGATGAGGAGGAGACTGATTTTGATACGGCAGATTGGGTTGTTGAAATTGTGAATGAGAATTGAATGGAACTGTGTTTCCCCTAGGAAAATGTTGGGTCGAAGCGGGAGTGAAATTTTGAGTTCCGGGAGAATTTCCTAGATTCCATGCAAAGTTGGGATGATTTCTCCAACCTGGATTGTAGGTTGGAGAAAATGGATCATTTCTAGGGTGCTG